AATCATTTGGCCCAACAAGCATCTAGTTACCAGGTTACTAGTGGAAAGTTTTTAATAATAAAAAAACCGATGCTAGCTGTTGTCGAAAGTGAGACCGATCTGGTTGCTAGTTCGGGTCTGGGTCGAATTGAGAGTTCTAGAGCTGAACATATTAGTAGTTTTGGGGTACAGGGTGCATCAGGTGCTAGTTTAGTATAGCAGCAACCAGTACATGGCAAAGAAGATTTGGTACAGGGTTCACAAATAACCAAATCTGTAAATGAGTAAGAACCTGGTGATTGGAGAAGCCCTATAATTAATTATCTAAAGGATCCAAGTCAAACAAGGGATAGGAAAATTCGGCATCAAGCTTTAAAATATACTTTGTTAAATGATGAATTATACCGCAGAACCATAGATGGGTTACTTTTGAAGTGCTTGGGTTCTGATCAGTCTAGAATAGCTACGGGTGAAGTACATGAAAGAATATGTGGGACACATCAGTCGGCTCATAAGATGCGATGGTTATTGAAAAGAGCGGGTTTTTATTGGCCGACTATGTTAGAAGAGTGTTTTCGATATTATAAGGGGTGTGAAGCGTGTCAAAAGTTTGGAGACATACAGTTAGCGCCTGTGGCTATGTTGCACCCTATTGTTAAGCCGTGGCCATTTAGAGGATGGGGTTTAGATTTTATTGGTCAAATACATCCTGCTTCATCTAGAGGTCATCGCTTCATCCTAGTAGCTACAGATTATTTTACTAAATGGACTGAAGCAATTCCTTTAAAAAATATGACTCATAAAGAAGTGATTAATTTTGTATTGGAGCATATTATTCATAGATTCAGTATTCCTCAGACTTTGACTTCTGATCAAGGTGCTTCTTTTATGTCTCACCAATTTCGTGAATTTGCCGAATCTTTTAGAATTAAGTTGTTAAATTCATCGCCTTATTATGCTCAAGCTAATGGACAGACCGAATCTAACAACAAAATTTTGATTAAGCTTATAAAGAAAAAGATTGAAGAGCATCCGAGAAAGTGGCATGAGGTGCTTTCGGAAGCTTTATGGGCTCATCGGATATCTAAGCACGGAGCAACTCAAGTGACACCGTATGAGTTAGCGTATGGACAGGAAGCTGTGCTACCTGTGGAGATTAATTTACAAGCTCTTAGAGTAGCCAGACAAAATGATTTGTCGGCTGTAGATTACAGTAATCTGCTGATGGACAGAATAGATGAGGTTCTAGAGGAGAGATTAAAGGCCTTACGTGAAATTGAAAAGGAGAAATTGAGGGTAGCTAAGGCCTATAATAAAAGAGTTAGGGAAAAATCGTTTCAGATAGGAGATTTAGTATGGAAAACGATTTTGCCTCTTGGAACTAAAAATAATAAATTCAACAAATGGTCGCCGAGTTGGGAAGGACCATATAGTATTGTAGAGATTGTTCATGGAAATTCATATTTTGTACAATCTTTGCAGGGAGAGAGGTTGCCTAAAGCGCTCAATGTGAAATATCTGAAGAAGTACTATCCTGGTGTGTGGCAGGAGGCCTGATAGTGGTACGGCCGATATATCTATATAAATATCGCCCTAAGGAAAATATTTGGCCCATGTATTTTTTGGACATCGCCCTAAGAAAATATTTGGCCGATGTATTTTGAAGACATCGTCTTGAGCAATGGTGTGGCCAGTGAAGCCATTAACATAGTCCGGAGGTAAAATGATTGATTGCTTTTATTTTCGGTAAAATGCAATTGTACCGAAAACAGGGGGGCATGTGTTGATGGTGTAATTTGGCTAAGGAAATATGTCATGATCGGCCAAATTATATAGGTTATTGATAATTAATCAAAATTAGTTGACATGCTACAGGTCAAGAGTATGTGCATATGGAGGCCGGACGTCAGATTGATGCATCATGGAGTGCACGTGTGAAGAAAAAGAAAGCAATGAAGAAACGGGAAGGAGGTCAAGAAAAGATTTTGCATAGGTTAATTGTCTGACCAGAGGAGTTCTTTTCGGAATCGTGCAGAGCTAAACGAAGCAAGGAGGATTAGAAAAGATATCAGCTTTGCATGATTGAGGTGCTTGATTAAGGAAAGATTAAGCATGCATCGAAGGTGGCTGTGGAGTACAAAATGACTTGTACGTGATCTCAGGTATCTGGCCGGAATATTTTATTGGACGCATTGTAACTAAACAATTAAATGAATATTTGTGCACGAGTATTCCGGTCAGGTGTTGCAGGTTGGTAGTAGATTTAATAGGTTAGCGTACCACCTATGGCAGCCGAACTAAGAAGGTCCAGCCTTATTCGGCGTTTTGGAGTCTTGTTCCCGTACGCAAAGTCCTGCGTGCCTTATAAATTTAAGGCCATGGCCGATTTTTTTTCTCCAGCCAATCGACAAACACAAAAATACATCTACATTTTTTCAGCATAGTAATTCGTAGTCTTGCCGAACCCTAGCTAGCTCAGGGATTGGTTCATCTTTGCCGTTTTGCACTGAAAAACGGTCGGTTCCCGTCCACGAAAGCGAGGATCCTTTGTTGCTTTGCTCGGAAAGCAATCGCTCGTCGTTGCGAAAATACGATAGTTATCGTGCTGTTACGCGGATCAATTTCGCGTGCCAACACAATCAACACAAGCATATCGGTTCAATTGAAATTGTATGGACTTGTGGACGACCAAGGATTACACAAGCAATAGCAGCCGATGGACATGGACCAAAATCAACATCATCAGCAGTAACAGCAGCAGGCGGTCTGAGAAGAGATATTTGATCATTTGCACAGGTGTACTAAGTTCAGAACAACATGCATGATTGAAAGGAATGACATCTCCCATTCACAGGGCTGCAATACATCATTCATACTTTCAGGCATACGTATATTTCATTCACAGCGATGCAATACATCATCCACACTTTCTGGTATACATTTCACTCACAGGGACTATAAATATATTAAAATGTGGCAATCTAAGAGCAAGTACTTGAAACAAATATTAAAATGTGCCTGTCCGAATCTGAGAATATCTTTGGCAATATGTAGAACAAACACCATAGTTCCGACTTGTTGTGACAATCAGACACTACAACTAAGAGTTCCGGACTTGCAGTGACACTCAGACTTGACTCATGCATACCCATGGCCTCAAGTGACCTCAGCCTCTCCTACAAAATGCAGGAAATAAATTCGAGAACATGACAGAACTGCTGAAAACTTCATAACTCTTTCAAGCAAAGGTTAATCATTTGGTTTTTAAAATAAATACTATGCATTCACTGTGAAGCAAACACCACAGCTGCAGAGCAATGCATTGCTATCAGGAACAAGCAACAGCTGCAAAGCAGCAAGAATATTTTTTTAAAAAAAGTGTAACTGCCCATTGCCTTGCGTTGCACAAACAATAATCCCATTATTCTTCATATATGCATGTATTATTGAACAAACAAGTATTAATTTCCAATCTAAATTGCCACTACTCTGAAACCGGAGACAAATTGCTATCTGTACTGGAGAAAATAAATCAGTTCAGTCTTTAAAATGTCACTAAATTGTCGCTCTGATACTGGAGAAATCCAATCAGTTCAGTCTCAAACAACTTTTAACTTCATACTCACATAGGACATGATGACAGAACCATATACCACCTTCTGAAATTGCTATTGCTATTTGTACCTATGACAGAACCAGAATCAGACATCACATTCTGAAACTGCAATCGTCCTTTGCTTCGCTTATAAGCCGTACTTTTTCAGTTAACGAACAATATTTTTCTCTCACAACAAATCAGCCAACAGTACTTTCAACCATGGCTTATCAGCCAAGCGAACAGGGCATATGCGATCATCCATTTTTAGTCGATTCTTCGCTTGCTTTTTACAAAAAAAATGTTGTTTTTCTTAAGGAAACGGAGCATCAAGATCAGGGTAAAAACTGTTCCGTTTGAAAGCCAAAGGTCTGGCTTGTGAGCCCAAGTTTGATGCTTGCCAGGCAGAAGCAGATTCTTTAGAGGTCCGTAGCCATAGCCCTGCACCCTAGCACTACCTTTGGCCAGACCAAACCGTAAGCCCTGCATCCGTTGCATCGCTTCGCCTGCAGCCGCAGGCCGCAGCAAGCAAGCAGAGACGTAGAATTCGGGCACAGCTGCTCGCAAAGGGAAAAACTAAGGAAACTAAATCCTTACGTAATTCCTCACCTAAAGTTTACTCTCGGTCATCGAAGTTTGAGCACAGGAAGCATTAAATATAGACTGAAAAATAATTAATTACATAGATTACGATTAATTTAAGAGAAGAATTATTTAAACATAATTAATCCATGGCTTAATAATATGGTGCTACAGTAATATATGCTAATGACGGATTACTTAGATTTAATAAATTTGTCTCACGAATTATTAAAAATTTCTATAATTTATTTTATTATTACTATCCTATCAAATATTCCGACGTGATACCTCCATGTAACCTGTCTAAATTTTAATCTCTGAATTTAAAAACCACCGAAGGAAGAGGAGCAACCCAGCGTGCAAGGCACCGCTGCCTCTGCTTGTGAGCGTATGGTGGCGTGAGGCGTGAGAGCCGGAGGCGGAGGGGGGGCACCCACCATCCTCCTTCCTCCGTCCTCCATCCAGCCGGCCGGTTGAGTCTCCCTCACGCCACTGCGACTGCGACTGCGACTGCGACCCTCCCACACTCCACTCCTCGCCTTCCTCCTCCTCTCCTACTATAAATCGATCCCCGGCATCTCCCTCCTCCCTCCCCCTCAACTACGCACGCAAACGAAAAGCTCCCCTCGATTGTGCGTCAAGTAACCCACCAGTCGTCCACCGCCAACCCCGAGCCGTCAACCGTCCCCCTGCAAAGATCGCGCCTTTTGTGCTTGTCGTGTCCACGCGCGCGGCGGCGTTAGTTGTCGTCAAGGAGCAGCGCGGGCGGGAGAAAAAAAAATAGTTGTCGATCGATTTGACCCAGGTGTGGTCACAACTTTGCTTCATTCGCTTCCGAATTGCGATGGAGTTGAAGGAGGCTGCGAAGCCGAGGCTGCCGCCGGGGTTCAGGTTCCGGCCCACGGACGAGGAGCTGATCGTTCACTACCTCCGGCGCCGCGCGTTGGCCTCCCCGCTGCCGCCCGCCGTCGACATCCCGGACGTCCGCATCCTGTCGCACGATCCTTCCGACCTGCTGCCCCCAGGTGAGTGAGCCAACCTTGCGGCCACTCGACGGCAAACATGTTTGGATCTCGGATTGGGGCTGACTTTTTTGCTGGATTGGGTGGTGGTGGTGGCTGGCAGGGTTCAGCGAGCAGGAGCGCTACTTCTTCACGTGCAAGGAGGCCAAGTACGTGAAGGGCCGGCGCGCGAACCGCGCCACGGGGGCCGGGTACTGGAAGGCCACGGGCAAGGAGAAGCCGGTGGCCGTGGCGATCCCGGCGGCGGCTCGGGGCGGCCAGGGCCAGGGCCAGGCCGTGCTTGTGGGCATGAAGCGGTCGCTGGTGTTCTACCGGGGCAAGCCCCCGACGGGGAGCAAGACGGATTGGGTGATGCACGAGTACCGGCTCGCGGGCGCCGGCCTCGCCCCGTGCCGCCGCGCGGCGGCGCAGGACGGCGACGCCGACGCGGCGGTGTCGCGGCCCGCCGAGGGCTGGGTGCTGTGCCGCGTGTTTCGGAAGAAGAAGGGCTCCGCCCCGTCCGCCGCCGCGAGTCCGGTCGAAGACCGGAGCGACGGCGAGGAGACCGGCGAGAGCGAGAGCGCGGGCGCTGGCGGGCCGGGGTTCATCGACTTCTTCGCGCGCGCGGACGCGGCGGGGCGGCGGCGTCGCGCGGCGTCGCCCGTGGTGTCGAGCAGCTGCCTGACGGACGCGTCGCCCGAGCGCCAGCAGGGGCGGGAGCAGGAGACCACCAGCAGAGGCGCGTGATGACAAGACAGCGTCGGCTGGCGTGAAGCAAGGCAGGCAGGCAGGCAGCCAGGCAAAGCAAGCTACAGAAAGAGGGAAGCTTTGTTTGTTGGCTTTGTTGTAAGCTGCATCAGCAAGCAGACGGCCAACTGTTGCAGTGCCTAATCTGGGTGTCAGTAGGAGTAAGTAAGTAATTAGCAACGCGAGAGCAGCAGGGAGAGGAGAGAGGGGCCTGAGAGTCAGTCGGTCAATCAGTCCAGTTTCAGTTGGAGTCTTGAGCGTAGTAGATGCTGAAACTAAATGTAGCAGTTCAGTTGTACCCCGTAGTAATGTATACCTACCGCCACCCTGATCAATCAAAGTTCTCCGTCCATAATGTCGTGCGAGAGTGCTGCAAATCTCAACTGGCTCATCGTCATTGGCATACTCATCATGGCACGAAGCTCCAAGGAACGGAAGGAAGCCCATGCGCACGAGAGCCACAATGACTCGCCTCATATCGTGCAAATTGGGTTGGGTTGTGTGGTAATGTCAATGTTCCCGCGCCTGTTGAATAAGCAAGCAATCAACGTCGCAAGTGGCGGGCAGCAGACGCAAAATGCCAGTGTCTGGTACCGATAGCCATGCGTAATATATTGCCCGGACTTTCGTTTCTTTCTTCGGGCCCGTTCGGTTATGCCGTTTCCGGTCTTTACTGAGCGGGAACAATTTCCGTGCTATAGAAAATACTGAGGGCCCGTTCGTTTAATATGAAATGGTTGCCCTGGAATTGTTCCAGCCGGATCGATAGGCTTATTTGTATTAGTATAGATTAGCTGGAATAGTTCTCAGCCTCAAAACTAGCCAAACGAACGAGGCCCGAAGAAATGGAAAGGGCAGGAATGGATCTGGAACGAGGCCTTAAGGGAATTAATCGATGCCGTATACGTATAGAATATATTAATATGGCTTGCACTTGCAATCGATCTCACTTGAAGTGCCCCTTCCAGCAGGGCAGGGCAGCGATTAACAAAACGGCGAGCCGCCAACTGCGGTGACGGCTGGAGGAGGGGGTTGGGATGCCGGGCAAGAAAACCAGGGATCAACCAGTCCCCGGGTAGACGAAACGCAAGCAGATGATGCGTGCGCGCGGGGTTAGCGTTAGCTTGCTTGGGCGAGCCGGAGACTCCCACCCTCCAGTCCTCCACTGGGGCACACTGCCCCTGCCCGAGTTGGGTTTCGTGCGGGGAGGGACCCGGAGGAGAAGTCAGCCGGCGGATGGCGGTCAAACGTCATGGGCCCGACCGAGGGGTAGGGGGCCTCCTCTCTCCTCTTCCTCTCGTCGACCGCTGGCGTGGCGTGGCGTGGGCGAGCGACGGGACGGCCGGAGCCGGACGGGCTCGCTCGTCCCGGTCAAGAATATTTTGTGCAGATCTCGTGTTGACCGAGGGGCCAAAGCAACCACATGCTGCACGGAACCGGGCGCGGGGCCTACTACTGCCGCTGTGCCGTGTGCAGGCAGCAGGCAGGCAGGATCGGGTCGGATGGACGCCATCATGCCGAGGCGGGCCGGGACGGGGACGGGGGTTCGCCCCCCCGCTCGCTCATTGGCTGGCCCCGGATGCCCGGATCGCTCGGTGCCCAACTCAAGCACGCACGAAAGTACGCCACCTGCTGATGTGCTGAATAAACTAGCGGCGGTTGCGTGGGCGTTTTGTGCACGAGCCACAATTGCCAATTGCGTTGCGCGGCCTAGGAGTGTGGGAGGGAGGATGATTTGGGATAGGAGCCGTCCGAATTTTGCGGATTTTTGCTGCCCCTCTCGTCTCTTGGCTCGCGCGTAGTATAGTAGAGCAATTCCATCGGCGGCCGCTTTTGTAATCCAATTTTTTTTTTGGCCACAACATTAGCTCTGCACGCTGCCAACTCGCAGGCGTGGTCTCCTGCAAACCAGCACGGTAAGTGCAGCAAACCCAGACGTCGTTAACGGTTAACCCTTCCCTTATTTTTCACTAACCTAATGAAATGGGCTTCTTGTCTCTCTTCCTAACCATCATTTTGGGCACAATAATTCATTGTCCATCCTACTATAGCGCAAGCATTCATCCTACAAAATTAAGCGATGAACAGAGCATGATATAAAGCACTCATAGAATTTACTGCAACATTCTAGAAGAAACACAACAAAAATGTTGGTTGTGTTTGAAGATGTCTTTGTGTATGTCATTATAGAAAACTTAATTTAATGTTTAACTTACAAGACGTTTGTAGCTTTCACGTTCTCAGTTGATGTGTTCTTTGTTAGGGTGTAGTGTCGTAATACTCCAAAAGTAGTTGTTTTTGCTTTCTTCTGAAGTGTTACATTCACTCACCCATGCTTAGATTTTTACAACACTTAATGCTAAATAAAATCAAGCTTGAAGGTTGAATTCTCCCTTGGATATACTCCATTACTAAGTGATCTCCAATTTTTTAAGTTGGGCCAACCTTCAGCCTGTTCGTTTCGGCTGAAACGATCGTGGATTATTACTGCTGCCTGGTTTGATGTGAGAGAAAAATACTGTTCTGGATTATAATCCACTATCGTTTATGACCAAGCGAACAGGTTGGCGACAAAAATACCTGAAGAAAACAGGTTCTACCTTTATATCCTTAAACCCATTTGTACTAAAGTCATTTTATTTGGTAGAAAACGAAAGACACCTTTTATGATGATTGAAACAAAAGAAACTTTATTGGATTGAAAAGAGTGAGATTATGAATTATGTTCCAACAATGCTTTGTTTAAAGTCATAATCTCGACCTTTTTATAGTTTTAGAGCCTGTTCGCTGGTTGGTTTCTAGGCTGATAAGCCCGGCTGGTGCTGGTTTGTTGTGAGAGGAAAACATTGTTAGCTGGCTGATAAGCTCTGGCTGAAACCAACGAGCGAACAGGTTGTTAGTAGCAAAATTTGTGCCAAACCACCACTATATAATGATGACCATTAGACAGGGCTGGATACATATAGGCCATCGAGGGTGCGGCCGCACCTAGGCCAAAATGCAAATCCATGCCCTAATTTTTGAACCCCCTAACCTAGCAAAGCCAATAGAGGAGCCCTCATAGCTGCTCTACAACTCCCACCATCAGCCCAATGTTAAGATTTAGGAGCATTGCAACTCTCTGAGACGCCAACTCTTCATATACGTCTAAACATCGATGGAGGCTCCGGACCGCCGCCTTCTATCGCCTCCCACGGCCCACGCCCCTCCATTTTATCCCGTTTGGCCCTTCCATGTCCTTTCTTTCTCTCCCCTCGAGGCCTTGATGCGAAGCCGCAAACTTCGCTGGCTGGTAGCTACTCCCTCCGGTTCTCTAAAACAAGTCGTTTTAAGGTTGTCTTAAGTCAAACATTTTAAAATTTGACTACAAATAATTTCCTTTGGGTTGAGTTTGAAAATATGAAAGTGATGTAAGTAGATTCATCTCGAAATGTAGTTTCATAAAAATATATATTGACTATATTTTATAAATATTTTATAGCAAAAAGTTGCAGTCAAAGTCGTTTCTTAAAGACCGTGTCGATGTCCAAAACGACTTGCTTTAGAGAACCGGAGGGAGTACTGACCATGCAGACAACTGCTAGCACTAATTAGGTGCTGGGCACAAACAGCTCTGTGCAGTGCATTTGTAGCCCGGCTCTTCTGTGTGTTCATCCATGATCAAGGCAAAGTAAGCAACTTCAAAGATTCCCTTTTTTCATTCAGTTTCCATCAATTTGATCATCCAAATTGGTTTCAATTTTATGGTACTTGTGTTCTTTGTTGTTTGTCCAGATTCTAGGGTTAGGCTCTTCGATCTTTTTTTAGATTCTTTGCTTAAAATTGAATGCTTTATTCTTTCCTCTTTAGGTCAACGGGGATCTTATGGTTGAGGGGTTGCATTTTGCTGATACACACAATCTTTTGTTTCTAATTTTGGCGTTCTCTAACCATATTTTGGTAAATGATAAGCATTAGTATCGCTACTTCAGTGTTAATGTCCATCATTATGCTTGTGTTCAATTATTGATGCTAAAAATCTTGTCCATGATGTTATTATGTTATACTGTTGTGCAAACATCATACTCCCACCTTTCCAATCCATAGGTCATTTTGGACACTACTACAAAAACGATTTTGCGCAGCGTTTCACTTTTGCACTCCGTGGCGGGCTCCTATTTTTGCCCGCTGCGGTAAATCCCACGATTTACCGCAGCGGGCATTTTTTATTTACCGTGGCGAGCATTTTTGCCCGCCGCGGTAAATCGATTTACCGTGGCGGACGTCTATGGATTTACCGTGGCGGGCGTCCTATGAGACCCGCCTCGGTTAAGGCCGTGGCCCAAAAGGCCCAACGAAGCCCGATAGCCGTCTTCACATATAAATACGTAGTCTTTAGGGTTTCACTCCCAGTCTCCCTTTCTGCCTCAGCCACTCCCTCCCACCGAAGACCGAACAAGTCCGCACCTCCTTCCCTGTCCTTCCGCCGCACCCTCTCCGTCGTCCTCGCGCGCACCTCCCTCCCTCTCCTTCCGTCGCACCCCCTCCCTCCCCGTCGTCCTTCCTCTCCTTCCGTCGGCAGGGCGCGGTGGCGCCCGACTCCGGTGGCGCGCACGGAGGCGCCCACGGCGGTTCGAGGGGCCACGATGGGTCACGCGGGGCCACATCGGGTCGCATAGGGCCACGGCGTCGTGCGGAGCCACAGCGGCGCACGGGACGGCGGCGCGGGTCGCGTGGGCGACGATGGCGCGCGGGGTGGCGGCGCAGGTCGCGTGGAGCCACGGCGGCAAGAGGGCGGAGGTGGCGCGGTGCGCGCGGGCTGGCTGCCTCCTTCCCCTTCTTCTCCGGTGTCGAAGCGGATCCACGGTCCAGATCCGGCGACAACGGGCCGCCTCCACCTCCGGCGACAGCAGATCTGGCGGCGCGGGCAAGATCGAGGTAATGGCACCGCTGTATCCTCTACCTCACTCTCTTTCTCCATCTCTCCTAGCTCCTCTCCCTCACTCCCTCTTTCCTTCCTC